TGTGGCAGGATCTCAGCTCACTGTAACCTCTGCCTCCTGAGATCAAGCGATTCCCCTGCCTCAGCCTCCTGAGTAGCTGGGACTGTAGGAACCTGCTACCACGCCCAGCTAATTTTTGTATTTTTAGTACAGATGGGGTTTCATTATGCTGGCAAGGCTGGTCTCTAACTCCTGACCTCAGGTGATCTGCCCACCTCGGCCTCCCAAAGCACTGGGATTACAGGCATGAGCCACTGCGCCCTGCCACAAGTCAGTCATCTTGAGAAGCTGCTGAAGAGACCAACCACCTGGTTTCCCCACCTCCCTTCCCACCCTAACTCCAGCACTATTACCGATACACGAGCTAGACATAAATTATTTAGGCAAATAGTAAGGGTAAGAGAGTCCTCGGTAAGGTTTCCTTCTGATAAAACGCAACCCCCAAATCATTTCTTTTCTAACAAAAAGCAGCCGGAAGAATCAAGCTGCAAGCATAGATAAGCAAACTAAAAGTTTGCATAGGTAAATGCCGGCAGCTGTCCCAACAGATAAAGGCTACCTGGGGACCAGGCATGTTCAACATGCTGGCTCCATCTTCCCTTTTCTTTGTCAACCACATGTACAGTAAGGAACAGACAACATGGTGCTGGCCAGGTAGGGAACCCATCTGCATAATAAAAAATGAGGGTGGGAGGGCCAGCTTCTTCATGCACTATACAAACGTCACACCTGGTCTGAACAATCTCTCAGGCCCTATGTAATCAGACACCGCCTCCTCAGGCTCAACTATGAAACCCTGTACATTTGACCACGAAACCAGAAAACGCTCTCTTTGCAAGAGAGAGAGCTATTCTCTTTTCTCTTTCACTTTCCAAACCTCCACTCTTAAACTCACTTCTTCTATGTCCACGTGCTCGATTTCCCTGCTGTGAGACAACGAACCTCGGATATTTACCCCAGACAACGACGCTATATTACTATTTGCCCTGCAGACCCAAAAGGATAACTCAGAAACATCTGTTTAAGCCCCACAAACTTCCCTCCTTCTAGATGCTTCTGCCCTGACTCATGCCCTCTATCCTCGACCTTGTTGTCCTTCCTCGCATTGCCATAAGTTCTCTTCTGCCTCGAGACAGATGCCTCAACCCCATCATTCACAGATGGGGATACGCAAGAGCCAGTCTGGCAGGGCTGGGGGGATGTTCATGGACAGCTGTGTTGGCTCAGGACCTGCTTTATCTCACATCCAAAAGAAACTCTGTTTGCTCCACCCAGGCCTGGCGTATGGAGGCCCACAGGCTCCTGTCAGAGATGTGGTTAATGTTTATAGCAGTAACAACTTCTATTTTCTTACAGTCTTCTGAAATTACTCGGCCTAAGGTGGCTGAACACCAATTATTATAAGATGAGATAATTAACTTAAAAATATCTTTAGTTATGAAATAGAATAAGCACATTATCATAAATTCATAGCACTATTTCTAGCTTTTTTTCCTAAACAAGGACTAATTAGTTAATAGTGGAACTAATAATTTGAATAATATAACACAACATGTACTTTAAGTTTAATAAAAATGTGCCAGTGTGGCCAGGCATGATGGCTCACACCTCTAATCCCAGCACTTTTGGAGGCCAAGGCGGGCGGATCACGAGGTCAGGAGTTCGAGACCAGCCTGACCAACATGGTAAAACCCTGTCTCTACCAAAAATACAAAAAGTTAGACAGGCCTGGTGACAGGTACCTATAATCCCAGCTACTCAGGAAGCTGAGGCAGGAGAATCGCTTTAACCCAGGAGACAGAGGTTGCAGTGAGCTGAGACTGTGCCATAGCACTCCAGCCTGGGCAACCAAGTGAGTCTCTGTCTCAAAAAACAGTGCCAGTGGTAGGAGTACCTATTATTAAAAGTAAAACAAAA